AATCGATTCCGGGGGTGGTTCTGATTATCGGAGGAGCTTCTGCTCATGCTCCCTTTCTCTCCGCGGCAGAGGATTCCGACAATGATCGATGGCGGGCGGTGTACCGCGGAAACTCTCGAGGAAATGACCTCGCGAATTCCGTTCGGACCCGCAGCATCATTTTCACAGACTCATCCATGGCTGACTAGAATCAAGAGTTCTATCGATGTGGTTTCCACCTGGAGCTCCACGATTCCACACGACAGCCTCGAACAGGTTATCCCATCACAGGATATCATTCCACTCGTGCCCCACCACAGGCTCTCACGCCGTAATATGAACTCGAGACTTTCCGCGCCACAGGGAAATATCGTCGAGTCAGACTGCTCATCGAAGTGTCTCGATTTTGGGATTGAAGGCATTTCATCATATTCGAATGCTGATTCCGCCGTGGGAAATCCCGCGGAGGAACCTCGGCTCTGTGTCCTCGACGGATATTCGCTTTCAGCCTAATGATACATGGGAACATTCTTCTGATCTTTCGGATTATCCTGATGCACCGACTCACCGGGCGAATTGAGTTGAGGCGGAGAGTTGGACATCGATTTGGGAATCCTTAACCAGTCCGGGTAGAAAATCCCCGGACGGAAGTCGACGTAGTGGAAGGGTACGTCACTGAATTGTCGCTCTCCTAGGATATCTTCTATCATGAACGACGTTTTCGGCGGCTCTTCACTCCGAGCAGGAACCTCTTGGGGACTGTCACTCCGATCCGTCCGTAGATCCATGGCGGGAGTCCGTATGTTTGCTGGGGCCTCTGAGCTCTAAGAGATCATCCTCGACAGTTTCAGGAGTCGGCCGTGGGCGGAGTCAGGACGACAGATGCGCCCGCCTTCGAGGAGGAGTCTATGACCGGTAATGGCTTGACATGATTCGATTTGCTGCCGATGCCATAAGACGGGTAATTGGTGAGCCTTGTTAGGGGCTATATCTCGCTTTCAACAGTAACTGCAGTAGCAGCAACTTGGGGTAAGTACTTCCACTAAAATGAGTCAACTGCGACTAAGAGGTATGCCAACGGCAATCTCTCGCCATTCTGCTGAAAGGACCGCGCGTATCTTCCCCGAAGCCGAGCTCTCAGGAAGACGCGCTCTGAGTTCGTGCCGTTCTAGAGCGGTTGACGTATCACGTTTTCGTGCCGACTACAAGAGATGCATTCTCCCCATATCGTCAGGGCCGGAGCTTCCCGGAACAATATTTGGAGCAACGCGGTCCAGAGTCGTGGCGCGATGAGAAACCAAGAAGCTCTTGATTCCAGTGAACCGATCAAGCAAGACGGTTCTAATTGCTGAAGCTTAGGGCGACGTCGGACAGAATATTTTGCAATGGAATTCCGACGGTGCGCAATCGAAGAATATCGGGAATTTAACCGGCGAACACTTGACCATGGACTGCTTTTCGCTTGATCAGTTTTCGCACTCGCCTTAAGTGTCGGATATATTGGCTTCCAGATTGAGGAGTATCAATCATGATTATGTCTACGCTACGCGGCTGTCTGGTAATTTTTTGCTTTGGGAACGTTCAGCTCTATGTTGCGGAGCTCATCGCAAGCTAGGAGATTTTCAATATATCTTTTCTTTTCTCAAGTTTATCCGTTTCCAGATCGCACTCTGCTTCATCTCGCTTTCACGCTGCCGCACGGTATTCCAGCCGGTCTCCGTCGAATTCGCAGACCATCACAGTCACGAAGTTGGTTGGGTTTCTGAACCGAAATAGCCTCTCTGGATGGATGCGAATCCCTCCCAGAGAAATGGATCTCTCATTTTATTCGAACTGTAAAATCAATCGATTCCCCATCATTCCATATCCTTAGGGCTTGCACAAACATCATCTACCGGACAGAATCGTTGCGATTCCGATTAGTTCCTCGTACAATCGGAAGAGGAATCCCGTAGCTCCGTCCGACATCAGACACGTATCCCCGGCGGCGATGCGTCACTTTTCACCGAGTGGTTTGCTCCCGATCGCTCCGTTCCCTGTGACTGAAGTTCATCGTCGCGTAGTTCACGTTCAGCCCAGCCATGCGATGTTACGTCAGCAAATACATCACCACAATCCAAACGATGAGCACGGATTGCTCAGGAGGAGGAGAAGGGCCCTCGATCATCTCTTGGAAAGGTGAATACCGGGGAGCAGATGAAAGTAAGTCAATCAGTGGATGTACTCATCGGGACATTCTGACTTTTAAATTTCCGCCTAGGAATCAACTACAAGATGGAGATTTGGACAGTGCGGATGAGAGCGCTATCAAAAGGAGTCGCTCGGGACGATCCGAATCTGGAGCGCTCACACAGGGAGAAAGACTCGAATTAGCAGTACGGACGCAGCCGAGAGCGCTCGACTCTGATCCCTGAAAAATAAACAATAAGACATCTACGCAGTCCTTTAATGATGTTGTTGTCTCGCTCCACTACATCTTTCGAGCCGCTCCGTAAGACCGAGAAGGATTCGACTGATATCATTACGCGGCCCAGTCGAGGAGTTCGAGGACTGCTGCCACGCAATTAATTGCGCAGCATGAGAGGCTAGTGGCGATTTTGTGGCAAGTATTGATGGTGATTCATGATATGCTCTCTCCAGAGAAGGTAGCAGCACCTTGTCTAGCTATGGCGTTCCCCGAGCGGAACCTGATACTCCAGACTCCCCTAGTGTAGATAGAGCTACATAGACTGGGACCCCCCCCCCCCGACGGGGCGGCATCGAATACTTCGCGGAGTTTTGAGATCCTCGTCGTGGAGATCACCTGATCGACATAGGACAGAAAGTTCTCATCCGGAATTCCCCGGCGTGGCCGTCGCCACTTATTCACCTTGAACACTGACATCCATCGTCGGGAACCCCGTTATTCTCGTCCCGTTTGGAATAAGCAGTACTCGATCTTGCGTTAGGGCTCTTCAGACGCCGTTCCGCCTCGGAAGTCCAGAGCCCCACCCGGTAGCAAAATCGCAGAGTGACAGTTTTTTTTCGCGCGCTCGGCGCAAGGTCTGTCATTAAGGAATTTCAGGAGTGCTCCTCTGGTCGACCGTGTCCATGCGGAGGTATCTCCCAGCTCTCAGTCAGAGGTCCGATAGGCTACTTGTGATTTATGAATTGGACGTGTTAGCTAGGGCCTGAGTCCATTCCAGGAAGGAGGGACCCGCGGAACTCAAGGCTGAGAGGAATCAGAGTTGACGTTGACGTAGCAATAGGATTCAGATGCTTCCGGAGCTGACGTTTCAGGAAGACTTGGAAGGTCGGGAATGCTGACACGCAATGCGAGAGCTCAGAAGTTCTGACGGAAAACTTCAAGGTGCGGGACGAGAAACATCGATTCTTCAGGGATCCGAGTGAATTCGATTCCCATCCAAGAGCTTCGAAAGCGTCGGGTTTCGGGAATGGGAACTTCGGACCTGGCCGAAGGTTCGTTCCATTGAATTTCGAAAAAAAACATGTCTTTCGCTTCTCAGAGGCTCTCGGAGAGAATTCGCGACGCTGGCGTCTCGAGATACTAATCTCGTACCGAATTCCGCAGTGAGAATCGCCGACTTCCAGTAACAACAAGCTAAAGCTCCCTCGGGCCTGACGGCTGAGCTCCAAAAGAGGCCCGATTGCGCGAAGTGATCCCAAGAAGGTCAATAATGCTGTAAGCACTGTATTCTCTCTGCAGATGCTACGGGAAGGTTAACGATTCACGCGAAGATCATTGTGTTCTATCGTTCAGTCTCTCAACTCCCGTGTCAGCTCCCCCAACGGGGGGTGGGGGGGGGGGGCGGACTACCTTCTAGCGCGGGGAAAACTTTCGACATACGCTGTATTTTGTACCTGGCGACGAATGCAGAACTGAGCTCAACTCCTCCGAATTATTATAGCTCACGCTCAAATTTACGCGGCGGTTCCTCCACTATCCATAGCGCGGTATACTAATGAATGAAGGCATGTCTATTTTCGATTGTTCGCCGCGACGGCGGAGTCGAGGGAATCCTCTCGTATTAGTAGGGAGAGGGAAGTCCGTGAGAGCTGTTGAATCGTGCTCCATGTGTACATCATGCTCGGACCGACGCGGAATGAGGGATTAGCCTTCCCCGATCTTGTAATAAATCCATCTCGTCCCGTTCCGAGCTGCTACTCCGGGTGCGGATGTTTTCGGCCTTTCCGCCCTCCGGACGAAATCCAAGAACCTTGTTTCCGGATCGGCTTTATCGAAGGCGAACAAGCAGAGCGATATGAAAAAAATTCTCAGCAGTATGTGGGTGAGGACATATCTGGAAGATGTGTAGCGGAACGTGAATATCGATGCGATTGTCAGTGTCGGACAAGATCGCCTCGTCAAGGGAACTCTCCCTCTAATTCCGTTCCCAAGCGGATCGCTCGGGGAAATACTAGCCGTATCCACACACCTCCTCATATAGGCACGGGCGGCATCCGCTTCCTCAGTCAAGAGTTCTTGATTGAATCCGCCAGATGGCTCCGTGGATGTCGAATTCTGTTGAGCATTGCCCTGAGAAGGGGCTGAGTTCCCCCTCGCTGTCGATGGCTTGACATTCGACGATTTACGATTCACAACACCTGCGAGGTAATTCGTCCGCGGAAAGCGATTATCACTCCATAAGCTTCAACCTATCCGCACATGAGTTTCAGCAGGAATTTCTCTCGACACTTCGGATACCTGGCGTAGTAGTGGAACTCAGATATGTCTCGTCCAGCATACTTCGTCGTTTCGAAGACTTCGAGGAGCTCTGCTCATCAATCTTCCGCGGAGGAATCAAGAGGGAGCGGCTGGTTGAAACCAGAGGTTCCGGAGCGGATAGGGATAATCAGGGATCCGACGAATACGGGAGTGTATGCTACAGACTTCCCGCCCGAATTGCGTCCACCCTTCTATTCACGGTTTGCCCGGGACCTTTGGAGGAACGTGCTTCTCTGTCGCGACGTGCATCTGACGCTCAAGTATCTCGCGACATGCCTCGCAAGCGACCAGTCAGAAGCCGGAAGACGCTCGCGAAGGTCGTACGCTGTGGAGAAGTCACGCGTACCATGGATTCCATCAAAATCTTGTGTTTTTTGTGTCTCCTTTCCGTGGCGACAGCTGCACCGATGCTCGGATCGGTGATCACGCGGGATTCACACTCGGACGTCGACAATCGAGCAGGGACGGGTGAGATACTCTGTTTGATGTATCCGATCGGATTTTCCGACCATTTCTCACGAGCTGGAGCATGACTGCCCGGATTGCCAAAATGTTCGGAGTTACCTCGGAATAATCGACGGAAAAACCCACCAAAATCTAATTTCAGGAGATGCGGCTCCCGCTCCACCGGTTCACCACGTTGAGAAACGGTCAGCGGTCGTCATCCACAAGGAGATTGAGATTGCAGAACCCCACCCGGGTATTCTTAAGCGGACTGGTGAAGTTTTGCGCATGGCCACTTTGCTGCCTGCGAAAAAACTGCAACTGGTCCGAATGATCGTGGTACCACTCGTCGACCAAACCCTCGCGCTACCCGGTGCGTCTTCATCGAAATAAAAAGAGACGAGACATATTCAGGGATTTCTTTTTCAGTGATACTCTCGAATCCGACCTGTCGGTGGGACGGGTGTGCGCGGGGCGCAGCGGAACGCCACATAGCGTTCCTCGCTTTTCTATCGAGCTTGTGCTGACTCTTCGAATCCCATTTCAGTCAACCTGCTCGAAGGAGTCGCGAACCCCAATCTGAATCTATCTGCAGTAGAAGGCCAAGCGTCCGCGGTTATGCACAAAACGATCGTCTCACCGATTGGGGCAGTGCTCAAATTCGGCGGGCACAAATCACATGCTCTGGGGCTTCATCTGAAGCATCACCTCGGGAAGTTGGGAGGCCTGCTCGCAAGCCCTTTCTACAAGAAGAAGGAAGTCATCGTGGGACCGGACGGTATGACGAAAACCCTGGATATCAAAACGCCGCTCAAAACAGCGAGCCTCGAGCTCAAAATCTCTGCCAATCCGCTTCTCACGACCACGCCAGCTCCGATCCTTGCGGAAACCACAACCCCAGCTGCAGTCGAGGGCCTGGAGTCCGCAGGCGCTGACGATCTCCTGACCACTGCAGCTCCACTTCCACCACCAGCGATAACTGACCCCCCTATCCTGGAGCCTCTGACGACCGAACCTCCAATAATCACTACTCCTCCACCCCCTCCGCCTCCTCCCCCCGCGAGCCTCGCTGTAGCAGGGCCCCCGATCTGCGCATTCGTTGAGCCTGAAGTAGTTCCTGCTTGAATGTGTGGGCCCAACGGGCTGATATTGGAAACCTCATGAGTCTAAACACTCGCATGATTTTAATAGTTGCATGAATAACCTGCATTATACGGAAGTGAGAAAAGTTGTGAAGCTTCCATGAACTGTTGACAGTCACTGAATTGTGCATTTCTTAATGACAGCAAGTCTGCGACAATAAATAATCAATTTATTCTTGTGTGAATATCCCAAGAAACCTCTCGAGCATTCTCACAGTCGACTTTCATGACGATAGATATTTCAAGCGAGACGAGAGATTTCTTCCGGGAACGAATCCTGAGAAGAATATCCAATCTCATTCACAACAGTCTCAATAGAGTTCGCAGATTCAGACGCGAAGTCGGCGCACCGCAGCAGCCCGAGAGTCCGAGGGGCCGATCGTGCATGGAGTTACCAAACTCTTGACAACCTCGTCCCAGCAGATGGTCAGGCTGATTGAGACTACTCTTGCTCTCAAAATGCTGCTAGCTGTTGCGAGATGGGAGCCCCCCAGATTCTCAGGATCGGACCAGGCTCATCTTGGCAGCTTATAATGACATTCATCACAAAAGACAACCATCCATATTCCGAAGTTCAACCAAGCTGTCTGAAGGCTGTGCTTCTCGATCCGTACGTGCATCTCCCAGCGAGACGACGTCCCGGATATCTAGCGACATGATTCGACAGCGACAAGTCGGGAATCGAACGTAGCTCAGCTGGAGCGAGCGCTCTCCATGTATTTGTGGTTAATATGGATTTCATCAAAATTTTGAGCTTTTTGTGTCTCTATTCCTTGGCATTGAGTGCTCCGATGTATCGTTCCGCGAACGCTCGGGCATATTATCTACAGGCTGCCAACAATCGAGCACCAATGAGTAAGATCACGATTATCAATTGTTTCGCTCAACCCAGGATCGTTCCGACCGGATGGTCAGATTACGAGACTCTTCGGAACGAAACATCACAGGAAATTGATTCCAGGGACAGCGGCGACGGTTCGTACAGAACCTCGCCCCAACGCTGCGCAGCAGAGCGGTGAAATTTTACGAATGGCTACTCTCTTGCCGGCGAGGAAGCTGCAACTAGTGCGGACGATCTTGGTACCGCTCGTGAACCAGACCCTGACGCTTCCCGGTTTGTTTCTACCACTGAGAGAATATTCTTTCCAAGTGTTGGTCCCGAAGCTCGCGGAGCGTCCCCGATTCATTGATAATTGATGACCGCTGAACATTCATTGCAGCCAATCTGCTTGAGGGAGCCGCAAATCACCTGATTTCACTCGGAGGACCAGCGACCGGAGTGGCGCACAGACGGATTTTCCCACCTGTAGGGTCTATTTTCAAAATCGGCAGACAGAAGACGCGTGATTTCAAGGCTTATCTGAAGCAACACTTTGTGAATTCCTTTATCAGCCGTGTCGTCAAAGACTCGCAAGTCCATTCGGGACAAGACGCTGCGGCGCAGAGTCCGCCCACCGGAGAGCCAACCAAGACACTAAGCATCAAGGTTGAGCTCGCGTCCACGAACATCCGTGGAATGAAGCAAGCACCGATCACGAACGGGAACACCATCACTGGAACTCGTACTTCGGCGAGCCTGGCGGCCGGGGCTTCCAAAAAAGGAAGCCAGATTCGCTTGGGGACTGACATCTCCCTCCGCCGAAGGCCGACGACTCAGACTCCTGTTCCGGCAAGCCCAACGACTGAATACCCTCTTCCAGTGAGGAATTCGGTTCAGATTCTTCCCCCGCTAAGCACAACCACTGAGAGTCCTTCTGCGGCGGACGTTATGACTGGAAGACCGCTCCCGGCGAGCCAGGTAGCTCCGGCTTCTTCTGCGGCGAGCGGCTCAACGACTGGAATCCCGCTTCGGGCGAGCCCGGTTGCTGGAAGTCCGCTCCTGGAGCATCCAATAATCGAAGCTCCTATTCCTGCGAGTACAATGCCCGGGAAGCCTATACGGACGAGCTCAATCGCCGTAATTCCCCCTCAGACCAGCTCAATCACTGAGACTCCCCTTCCGGCCATCCCCGTAGTAGGAGCTCCTCTTCTGACGAGCCCAACGACTGAGAATCCTCCTCCGGAGAACCCGTCGACAAAGATTCCTCTCCCGGCTAGCCCGATCGCTGCAGCGATTCTCAAGTGTCCAAGGATCGAGTCTCCCATACCCACGAGCTCAATCACTGAAGCACCTCTTCGAGCGAGTGAAATCACTGACATAATTCCTCGTCCAAACTCGATAACCGAAGTTCCCCCCCGGGCAGACCTAACGGCTGAAATCCCTCTTCCGGCGAGTCCGACTGTTGCCGAGGTTCCTCTTCGGACGAGCCCAATCGTAGCAGTTCCAAGCCTGGAATGTCCACCAGTGGGAGCTCCGATTCCCGTGACTTCGGTTGCTGAAGCTCTTCTCCCGGCGAGCACGACGACGGAAATTCCTCTTACGGCAAACCCAACGACAGAAATCCGTCTCCCGGCGAGCCCGGTCGTAGCAGCTCCACTCCTGGAAT